AACATGGTTACCTGTAACTCACTGAATAAACTAGGTCACGGATAATGCATTTCCAGGTATGCATTAGTTTTCTATTGATGCGGAACAAATCACCATAAACTTTAATGTCTTACGACAACCATTTATTAGCTCATGATTTTGTAGGTCAGAAGTCCGGCATGGCCTGAATGGGTTTTCTGCTCAGGGGCTTACAAACCTGAAATCAAATGCCAATCAGGCTGTTCTAGGCTCTGTGGAAGAATCCACTTCGAAGCTCTTATGGGTTGTTGGCTGATCATAGTTTCTTGCAGTTGTAGGACTGAAGTCCTCATTTCCTCCTTGGCTGACTGACCTCCTTCAGGTCACCCTTATTTCTTGCCATGTGGTCCCACCCATCAACGGAGAATTTCTCTTACATAAAATCCCTTTCACTTCATTTTTCTCTGACTTCTCTGGCTTTGACTTTTAGACCAAGATTGAAAATACTCGAATGATTAGATAAGTCCCATTTGGATAATATCCCTATTTTAAAGTCAACTGATATGGAATGTTAATTAAATATGTGAAACCCCTTTGCTGTTAATGTAACATAATCACAGGAGTTATATTTTATCATATTCACAGATTCCATCCACACTCAAGGAGGGGAAGAAATTTGCAGAAAAGTATTGGAGGTCATCTCATAATTCTACCACCCACAGTTGACATAGGCATTACTTATCAATATGAGGGTATGGATAGCTTTTAATTGACTGGTGCTCCAGGACTGCCTCATTATTTTTGTAGCAATACCAGGTCATTCTTGCTTTACCCATTTAACTGTTTGTATTTACATCTGACATTCTGCTTCCTATGTCTCTGCTGCTATTATCGTGGTTTTCTTCTTATCTGGGTTTAGAACAGGTGAGAGAGAGGAACCCACACATTGGCATTTCTATTTTTAAAAAGCAGCTAATGAATTCCTCAGGAGAGTTATTCTGGGTCTCCATCGGACATTCAAAACTGTTTTGAGAAAACACAGAGTATCCCAGTTAATTGCAAAAAGCTGTAATATATTTAGGAATTGATGGGGCAGAAATGGAGTAATGAATTATATTATCACAGGTCCCCCAGACGACAGACCCCGAGGCACAGCTTAAGCTTGGGTGTGATCCTAGGGGTAGAAAAGAGAGTGAAAAAAATGGAAGAAAGAAAAACTTTAGATAAGGAGGAAAAACAAATATAAGGTGGTTACTAAGCCGGCTGCAGCTGCAGGAGAAAATGTAGATTTTTGTTTAGTCACGTGGGACATCTCCAGGCCACTCATTAGTTGGATTGAGGACGGGAAAGAAATTTATCTACCAGTGTCTTCCTATCTCTTTCATTGTTCAAAGCTCACCTCACGGCATGTCACTAATCCTGCGCTTTGCAGATGGTGGTGAGGCTGTGGGACTTCACTGGGATTTGGAAGTGGCAGATGGGGCCAAGCTTCCTACATGTCTAGGTGAAGGTCTTGCTCTAGCCATGGTGGTGGTGTTGGAAGCTGTGCTTTGACCTTCACCCCCAGAGGAAGCCAAGTCAGCCAGCAGTGTTAGAAGATTTGCTGAGGGTGATGGCAGCTGCTGTTCATTAGCAAGTGACTGAGGATCCAGTAGGCAGTGAATCTGGGGAAGTACATAAATTGGGTCCAGCACAGTATGATGTGTAGTGCTTGTGTCTGGCCAATTCCTTTAAAGGTTCCTTATAATCTGTAAATGTGCCTTTGATAGTACCTAGGCTATAGGTAGAACTCATTAAATGTTTAAGTTTAATTTTTAGATAACACAGCCTCCTTGGTTCTTAGATAGTCTTTTCAAATTTTAGATAGGTTTTTTTTTATAGGTAGGGAAATGAATCAAGCATAATTAATGTGATATCGCAGATATCGTTCCTTTGGCTGTCCTTTGTTAGTTGAGTCCTGGAGTTATTCTGAAAGACTTTAATCTTGTGAATATATTGCTTTTCAAATATAAGTACTCGACCAGGTCATTTTCTTTACTAGTGTAGACAAAAGCCAGTTCTCTAATTTTCACACAGTTACTATAACAGCAGAATTCAGTTTAATATTCATGTGGTCTTCTTAGACAAATATTTTGTTTTTATTATTTATTTTGCTGTCATTGTTAATAGAATCAGGGTAGGGCTGAACCCAGGTTCTTTGATACAGCTTGTTGGGCTGTCCCAGGTATGAAGGTTCAGGACAAATATACTCAATCTTGGACGTTTCTTCTGATTTTGTGATTCTGTCATATTAATAAACTACTGTGCAGACCAGTTGTACTCAGATCCTTCCTTTGATGTCTCTAAGGTAAGTTCCATGGCTTCAGCAGTACCATTCTTATTCACAAGTTTAGGTATATTCATGTATCTTTTAGTTAAGTTCCATGGTCTTAACTACCACCTAATGGTCCCAGTATTTTTTTTTCTTTCAAACTAATGTCAAATGTTAATTTCTGGGACTATATTTTAACTGACTTTTGGGAAAGTCTAACTATAAAGAAAATTAATAGCTATCTAAATTTTGTCATTGATTGAATGAATAAACTAAACTGTGTAATTCAAGTAAATTTTGATTGTCAACTGTACATGAAAAGCATATTGTCTGTTTTATAATGAAATATTTCATTACCAAATGAAGTGTGATAAAATAATGTTATAAACATCTGTGTCTCACACCCAAGATTAAGAAAGAAAGTTACAAATTGAAAACTTCCTCTTCTGGCCATCATGGGGTAATAAAGGCCGTGCTTTACCTAGTTTAAATGGCCAACAATAACAAACTGGTATATTTCAACAGTTTTAAACACTGGACAACAGACAGCATAGAACTGTGATTTGTTAGGGAAGGGACACAAACAAGGTAAGCACTAGCTTTCTTCCTGGAATTCATTTCCTGACTGTGGGTATAGAGGGAAGGAACCCAAACAGAACCCAGCAACCTCACTAAATTTAGCTGATAAGAGGTTGGAGTTTGAAGCTGAGTGGGCTCTATATTGTAGGGCTGAGTTCTGGAAGGAGCTATGCAGCCAGAGCATATCAAAACTTGCATAGGGGTTCCCTTGAGTCTTTACTGGGTACTAGGCCGTGCATATATAGTGTATAACTCTACATGGCAGGACATAGCATGGGAGGGGGTTTTAAATTGAACAATTCTGAGAGTTTATAGAGAGTTGGGGAGATTAGAGCCTTGGCAAATTAGAATGGGGTGACCTCATGATCAAGTAGGGCATTTAGTGGAGACCCCAGATGTTATAATGCCTGAGAAGTAGGACTGATCTATCTGAGTGAAGGCAATTCCAGACCCAACCTAGAAAAACTTAATAAAACCTGATCAAACTGATTTGTAACTTAACTGCCTTCCCAAACCCCAAAATGTTTCAAAGGAAGAAAATGATATCCAGACACTCAACAAGGTAACATTTATAACGTCCATCATCCAATAAATATCACAAGACATACCAAGGAGCAGGAAAATGTGATTCATAACCAGAAGAAAAAAAAATCCGTCAATAGAAACAGAATCATAAATCACAGATTTGGTGGACCAGTGAGCAAGAAATTGAATCAGTTGTGATAAATATTTTTACATTTTTAAAGGAAAACTTGAACAGAGAAACAGAGATATTAGAAAGAATCCAAGGAAGTTCTAGTGATAGAAAATACAATTTCTGAATTAAAAATTGTGCTGTATGATATTAATGGCGTAATAGAAACTGTAGAAGACAAGATCAGTGAACTTTAACAAACTGTAATAAAATCAGCCCAAAATAAAAAACAGAGGAAATGATTAAAAAATGACAGAGCCTCAGTGACTTAGGAAACAATATGAAGTGGTATAATATATATGTGGCTGAAGTCCTAGAAAGAGTAGGATGGAAAAATATTTGAAGAAATTATGGAAGAAAATTTTCCAAATTTGATGAGAACTTTAAACTCACAGATCTAAGAACTCAAGGAACACTAACAGGATAAAAATAAATAGACAAACTAACAGATACCAAAACACATCAAAATTACATTTTTGAAGACAAGGATTAAAAAAAAAAATCTAAGATAGCCAGAGCAGGGGAGGAATATGAAACAGAGAAAAAAGATAAGTTTGAAGAGTGTTCATCAAAACTA